GGCAAGAAGCTCGTCCTCCGGAACACCAACAGCAGCTCTGGCAGCGACGACCTCGGCGGCCACCGCGTGGAGAGGCTGTCGAGGGAGGAGGACTGTCCTGCGGCACGTGCAAAGTGGGAGTAATTAGCCCTAGAAAGCAAATCAGAATTCCCCTGGCGGCAGCAGTCGAGCACCACACAAGCACTTCTGATTCGGGCGGCGGCTTCTACCCAGCGATATCCTCAAAAGCCTAGCTTCGTAAATTGTTAATTATTGCGGCGCGCGGGAGGTGGTGGTTAGTGCAGTCCTAAGCAAGTGAGCGGAAGCAATATGCAATCAATAAGGCTGAAAGGTATCACGAGTAAACCCGCACGAACCAGTCAGAAAATGAAAGAACATCCAGAGGAATCGCAACGACAGTCAATGCAACGTCAGGACGCTAAACAACCAATTTAAAGAGTCCACAGAGCAATCAAATGGAAGTCATCTGACAACTCTATGAGACGCACGGAAGTCCCGTGTTTGGGGATTTCTCATCCGATTTCAAATGGGTTTGCGGCTTGCGTGTATGACAATCTGGCAAAACGTCCTCCGACATATTGACCCAGGCGATATGTTTCCTACCTCAAAATTCAAAGTTGCAAGAAACGCCAAAACGCGGGCGATCGCCAGACGACGCCATACATTTGTTTCATCGGTTTCCTGCGCAGGCTTGAGGACTTCTCTGGTAGTTCTATCGGAGTCCAATTGGCGTCCTGCGGCGCTCCTACGAGACTCTTGGGACCTTGATGGGGTTCCTACAGTCAAGACGCTGAAATAAGAACCGCTGTGGGCTCAGAAAGGGTTATGGTTTTCGGGCCGTTCCTTAGATTCATGTCGTGGGACCTGTTTGTGGCCTAGGCCCGCCGTGGCCAGAAAAGCCTTCTCGTTCCTAACTATGCGCTCCTATGGTGGCACGATGACTGTTTGGGATCCCTAGTGCTCCAGCAAGTGTCCAGCGGCCCGCAGCGCCCACCGGCGCACCCTGGCGGATTTGCGCGGCCACCTCGCGATGCAGTGTGTGTGTGTGTGGGCATTTCCGCTGGAAGGGGATTGTGGGGCTCTTGGTTGCTTATTGGGGTCAGGCAGATTGGGCATGAGGCGGCAGGAGGCAGGAGGCGGAGGATGCAGAGGGCTGGCGTCAAGAGGTCAGTGGAGAGGGAATGGGGGCGGAGGAGGAGGAGGAGGAGCATGATGATGATTAGGAGGAGGAGGAGTTGGAGGAGAAGGGGGGAGGAAGAGCAGGAGGAGGAAGAGAAGGAGGAGGTGGGAGAGGAGGAGGAGGAGGAGGAGGAGGAGGAGGAGGAGGCGGTGGGAGGAGGAGGAGGAGGAGGAGGAGGAGGAAAAGGAGGAGGAGGGGATTGGACGTGGCAGAGGGGGGAAGGCGGCTCAGGGGTGGACAGTCCCCCTTCTCGTATGTCCTTTTGCGTTGAGAAGGCGTGGATGGTCATCGTCGGGCCTGTGGCGAAGCCGCTTACGGTAGGTTCGTGTCGTGTCGACCGGCGGCGACCCCGCCAGCGGCGTTCAATGTCGAACGCCGCGGGCGACCCAGAGTCGTTCGATGTGCAACGATCTGGACGCTTCGGAAACGGCCGATCGTTCAAGGTTGAACGATCCCCGCGGCGTCAGAGACCAACGCCGAAGTCGGCACGACACGAACCTGACGTAAGCCTGTAAGAGCGGAACACATATGGAACAGCAGCAGCAGTACAGAAAGTGAAGGACAAAGGAACCCGTAGAGACTTTCCACCCTTGCAAGGCAGCAGTGGGACAGAGAGTCAGGATATGGCACCTGCACTGTGAACTGGGAGGTGGGATGACTGTGTTCCGCCCAGTGCCCAGTTCCTGACAGATTGCGGGCTGTAAGTTTGCAGATATAGTTGCCAGTGCCGACCCCGAAGAGTGGGAAATCCTGCGCTCTGCATGTGCAGCATAGCGGGCGTAACCCACGTGGGACAACCTGTGAGATGCAAGCACCCACCAGTCGTTGAAAGTAAGTATTCTGGGACTCCCGGATTTCAATCTACTGTAGGCGCCTTCCTACCCCATGAGTCGAACGGTTATCATTATTCCCTCCTCTTTCAGGGGGCGGGCGGAAGACCAATCTATTTGCAACGCCCTCCTACTTCATGTGTCTACACACCTCTTCCGACCGATGGGTAAGTATGAAGAGCTTGAAGTCGTCGATCCCACTGCTCGTGCAGACGCCCCACCTTCCCGTCCGCAACGTGTTTGGCAAAACCCAGTCGACAACGACTGTGGTTCCTGATTGGAGCTTGCTGGCGCAGCTCTACGGCCGCGCTGGCGCGCGCACGCTCGCGCGAAGATCGACTAGCTGGTTCGGCGAAACTGGTGCGGCCGCGGTGGCGCTGACCGATGGGGTCTTCCGGGCGCGTCTCAGAGGCCGCGCTGGCTGGCGCGTGCGTGGCAGTGCGGGCGCGCGGGCGGGTGGTTGTGCGGATAATCGGGCAGCGGCGGCGGTTGGCGTTGACGAAACCGGCGGTGATGCCGTGGCGCTGATGAGGGTGAGGAGGAAGTGCACGCGCAGAACTTGAAGGAAACTTGCAGACGTTATGTGGAGAAACATGTATCTGTCGTATCATATGATTCGAACAGCTCTATCGTGACATGCTTGGACAACAAATAGTTTTTAATGAGTTTCGACGCGCGCTCGCGTGTGGCGGAGCACGCATATGGCCCGCATGGTATTCGTTGATACGGATTTGTGCGTTGGGTGCATGCTAGATCAACGCTTATACCCCGCGTGGTGATGGTGAGGTGAGCATGCGTGGTTTGGAGGAGATTGCTAAACACAAGTGGTGACCCAAGGATTTCATCTGGTGCGCGCAGGCAGAACATCTGCAATTTGCAAGTTCTTTGCCACTTTGGTGCCTTGCGTGCTCATGTGTTGAAACGCGCTCGATCTGAACGTGTGTGGTATGATTTGGACATGCGCGCGGGCGTGAGCACAGTTTGAACTTATGTTGCGAACTATGATTGCAGATGAGATTTGAGATAAACAGGTATGCGCGCATCATGTTTTTTGAGGGGTTGTACTATCAGTATGTACCCTGCCTCCCTCTTTTTCCCCTCCTCTCATTCGCCCCCGCCCATCAGCAGTATCACGACGTATCATGTTGAGCATCCGTATGTATCATCGTTCCCGATTTCTTCTTCGCATAACCATTTTCCAGTGTTCCGGCGGAGTGGTGGTTTCTTTGTGTATTGATCGGTTACCGAATATAAGCATCATGTTCCTCTCTCCTTCCTGCTCTTCTACTCTCCACTCTCGTCCCTCGTCCCCCATCCCTGTTCGCTCTCCCCTCCCTCCTAGCTCCGCCTCCCCACTCCCTCCCTCCTCATTTTTTCTTCTAGCGTGTCCGTGGGTGGAGGGCAACGGGCGGTAATGTGTGTCTGAGAAAAACGGGGGGGGGGAAAAAAAAAAAAAAAAAAGTGGCGGTGAACTGTGCGTTTCTCATCCAACGCCGAGCACCAGCGCGAACTGCGCCTTCAACCACGAACGTGCGTTTCGATACCCATGGTTCCGCCACCTCCTGTCTTGTGTAAGCGTTTATTTGGGCAATCGTTGGGCCGGCGTCTTGCCAAATTGTTGGGCTACACCTGGAAGGTTTTTTGGTTGCATCCTGGGGACCTCGGGGGCCCTTGGGGGCCCCCAAGGAGCTCGTTGGGGTCATCTTGGGCCATGCTTGGAGGGAAACGCTCCCAAGGCCCCATTCAATGTCCCCTTTTGGAGCCCTCTTGGGGGACCTGTCGGGCCGTGTGGGACGCATTTTGGTCTGGATTGGGGCCCCTTGGGGCCGTCTTGGAGCCCCCATTGGCGGTCGATTGGGCTGTATTGGGGAGATAACTATTGGAGGCTCCTCGGGCCGTCTTGAATCGTTGGAAACGCGAAAAGGTGAGAAAAACAACATGTTCTTCAACCCCCACGCATGGCTACCATACACTTGAGGAGTACCAGTGCGTTTGGCCTCTCGAGGCCCTCTTGGGGTTCATCTTGGAGCCCTTTTAGGACGTCTTGGAGGCCGTTTCGTGCAGTCTCGCAGCGCTCTTGGGCCGCACCAGGGCCTCTAGGATTGCCTTGGGGTCTTCTTGGGAGCCCTCTGGCCCTCCCTGAAGCAGTACGGCCTCTTGAGAGGCTGCGCGACAGACTGGCAGTCCTGCGGAGCACTCCTGGGAATCCGTGAGTCGGAGGTCTGGCCCTTGAGAGAACAGAAGTTCACTACGGGGATCGAACAAGCCTGAGGACGCCCCAGTCAGTGCTTGGCGGCACGGTGGCCGATGCTGGCACGGCCTCTTGCCGCGTGATGCGCTGGGTGGGTTCCACGACACGTGGAACTTGACCGCGCGCGAGCGGCGCGCGATTTCCGTGACACCTTCGATTCAATGAGCCCCCCAGGGCGCTTCGGGGGCCGCCTCACACAGCACCCGGAGGGACAAGGCTGCCCCAAGATGGCTCCAACCTTACCCAGCACTGGCCGAAACTAATTCCAAAACGCCGTTGAATGCAGCAAGAAAGCTACAACACACAAGGGCGTTGATTGACGGCCCCATGAACCTCCTGACAGCCACAAAGACCATTTCGATGTTCCTAGATCCGATCACAGAGCCCGCACCAATGTTTCTAAAGTGCCTTCAAGAATCCCTTAGCAGGGGCCGTAAACAATTTGGGTTCAAGGTTCAAGACATTCTGGCGGCATGGATATTCTTCCGCTGTGGAGTACATCATTTCATGTGATCGTAGTCCTTGATCCTCCCTGTCTTCATGAGGAGCGCGCGCGTTCTTGTGATCCTTGCGACCTCATGGCTGTTCTCAACTGCTGAACGGTCCAGACTGGGCCCTTTCGAATGCGCTGCTCCAGATGGTCAGGTGTCTGCTGCGGCGGGGCACCGCCACCATGAATGGCCCGTGGCCCTCGGCCACGACGATATGTTGCTGCTAGCGAGAGATGGCCCCAACCCGCGCGTCGTGCAGAGTGCCAGATCCTGCCCAGCTGCGTTGGCGCAGGCCCCGAGTTAGTCTAACGACACCTCCGCTTTTGCCCCCGCTCGGCAATGGAACGGCGCGGCCGAGCGGGGGGCCTCGCGAACAGAGCGGGCTGCAGACGCCCGCGGAAACGCCGCGCGGGCCATCGGAGAGGGCGGCCCCGAGGCCGCGCCCCTGGCCGCGACCGAGCCGAGGGCGACGCTGCGCGACGCGGACGCGAAGGTCCGCGAGGAGGCCGCGTGGGCCATCGGGAAGAGCGACCCCAAGGCGGTGCTCCAGGCCGCGGGTGATCTGAAGGCGCCGCTGCAAGACGCAGACGCGGGCGCCCGCGGGCGGGCCGCGCGGGCGCCGGGGGAAGGCGGCCCCGAGGCCATATTCCAGGTTCTGGCGGGCCGAAGCCGTCGCCACGATACCCCGGCGCGGCGGCGCGCAAGCAGGCCGCAACAACCGCCCGAAGGGGCGGCCCCAAGGTTGTGCTCCAGGCCGCAAGCGATCTGAAGGTTCTGCCGCAAGACGCACATGCGGAAGCCAGCCGGCGGGCCACGTGAGCCTTCGGGGAAGGCGGCCCCGAGGCCGCATTCCAGGTTCTTGGCGAGCTGAAGTCGTTGCCGGAGGTGGAGGCGCGCAAGCGGGCCGCGGGGGTCGTCGGAGAGAGCGGCCCCAAGGCCTCGCTCCATTCCGTGGAAAATTTGAAGGCTTTGCTACAGGACAAAGATGCGGACGCCCGCGGGCGGGCCGCTTGGGCCATATGGTAGGGGCCCCGAGGCCGCGCCCCAGGCAGTTGGCGAGCTGGAGGCACTTCGACACGACGCAGACGCGGGCGCCCGCGGGCGGGTAGCTGAAGCCCTCGGAAGGGGCGGGCGGCCCCGAGGTTGCGCTCCGAGTCGCAGGCGAGCGGAGGTCCGCGGGCGGGCTGCACGGGCCTTCGGGAAAGGCGGCCCTACGGCCGTGCTCCAGGTCATTCGCGAGCTGAGGGCCGCGCATGCAGACGTTGTTGCGGGCGTCCGCATGCGGGCCGCGTGGGCTTTCGGGAAGGGCGGCCCGGGGCTGCGCCCCGCGCAGCCGGCGAGCTGAAGGCCATGCTGAGCGACGCGCGCGCGGGGAGGGCGGCCCCGAGGTCATGCCCCAGGAAACGGGCGAGATCAAGGCCGCGCTTCAAGACGCCGACGTGGGGGCCCGCGCCCAGGCCGCAGAAGCCGTCGGCGAGGGCGGCCCCGCAGCCGCGCGCCGGGCCGCGGGCGAGCTGGGGCCATTGCTTGATGATGCGCGCGCTTTGGCTCGCGATGCAGCCGCGACATCTCCATGCAGTGGTGGCGCAGAAGTCATTGCCCGCGCAGTTGCGCACCTTCTGCCCCTATTGGGCCCAATGAACAATACAAAGACGCGCCGGAATACGACAAAGGTTGTGGCGCCGTTGGCGCCAACTGCCATTGAGGCTACACTTCTAGCGTTGCAAGGGGCGCCCCGCGACTTCGACCCTTCGTTCTTTTTGTCCCCGTGCCAGATTCCAGCAGTAGCTGCGAGGGCCTTACAGCAGTGCTCCTGTTCCATCCGAGCGAATTGCCAGCGGGCGCGTTCAATGACCTTGAACTGGCAGTAGGTAACTGGCATAGGCATTCCCGTGCATATTCGGAGGGCCGCAGCGCGATCCTCGACGTCGGCTGCATTGCGCGCGTTTGCTGGGCCGGTAGGACCGACGCATGACCTCGCCCACGGCGCAGGTGGGTGAACTCTCGCTTGTTGAAGGGTAGGCTGCCCGAACGCCGAAAGGCCACGCGGCAGGACCAAGCGAATGCGCCACGCCAGCTGGCCACGGACTGCAAGCCCACAGGTGCCGCGACAGCGCTGGCTGCCCAGATGCAAATGCCCGCGTTTCCTACGCAGGCAGCGTCGCCACCGAATTTGGCGGCGGCCACGCAAGAGCCTGACCAGACGCAAATGGTGTCAGCCCTCTTGCACGCACAAATGGAGGAGGCTCTCCTTACAGCGAGGAGCGCGACGGCAGCGTTGCTGGATGCGTCAGCTGCCTGGAGGGGCGGGGCCTGTCACTGACAGATGCGTTCAGCCATGAGTGCGGGGATGTTTGGATGCAGTGGGCATTTTGGTCGGGCCACCCTGCCGCGCTGCCGGCGGTCTCACTGCGAAGTGCAGATGGTGCAGCCGCGCTGGGTGACGCTGGCGCATTTTCCGACGACGTGCTGAAGATCGCGCTCTCGTTCAGCTCGAGCGCATCCGCCATTATCTCGTCGCTGAACATCCCGGGCGCGTGCCGGAACATCAGCGCTCAGACGCAAGGGCGGCTAAAATTGCCCTTGGGCGCCACTCGACATGGCGAGGCAACTGGGCCGCCCAGCGCGGTCTGCTCGTTGGGGCGGGTGCTCGCGCGCAACGAGCTGCTCGCGATGTCTTTGGCGGCCGCAGGCTTTGCCGTGGCCGCCGCCGCCCTGGCGCTGTGCGTCGTCCACAGCGCTCGCCGCTGGCAGGGCATGGACTTTGGCATCGCGCGGGACCTCATGACTCTCGGATTGGTTCCGGGTGGCCAGTCTCTGCTCGGCGTCGCGGCGGCGCGCGCGATCGCTCCCCCCTGTTATTGCGCGGTCCGAAGACGCCGGCGGAATCTCGGATCTCAGCGCTGCGAGGAGCGCGCGCTGCAAGTGGCCATGCGGGCGCCACTTCTGGATTTGACATTCACGGCTGGGCCCGCGCTCGGGTCGCGATTCATCCACCGCCGCGAAGGGGATGGTCATGACCAGCTGCTGCGATGCCTCACTGCTTCCTATCGCGCCGAGTATGTGGGATGGGAGGCCAGTCGACTTGCGAAGAGCATGCTGCTGAAGTGCGGTGTGGCAACGACGCCGATGTCGCACTGCCCAGATCTGCAGCTGTTCTTCGCGGCGTGCCTGATGTTCTCTTTTCACCGCCTGGCAGCTGATGTTCGCGGCGTACGGTTTTTTTGACGATCGACGCCCTGGGGCTAGCGTTGATGTTCTTGTGGGCGAAGTTTAAGTTGGACAACGGCCACGAATTCTTCAAGACATGAGCGTGGAAAGTTGATAGCAGACCTGGACGGCAAGCGTGCATGGGCGGGGAGGCCACGTTGAAGAGCACTTCCTCTGCCTCCTCCTTTTTCCTCCTCCGTTTGTCACTTACGGTCAATAGGGCGTCGAGGAGGGTGGGTTTGAACATTGACGGGATCACGCAGGTAAAGGACCAAGGAAAGAGACGAGAGCGAGAACGAGTGGAAGGAACGGCAGTGGTTGAGGGATGAGGATCGAGATGCTACTTTGCAAAGAGAGGCGGGGAGAAAGAGAAACAATAGGTAGAGAAAGGAGGAGGCGGAGGTAAGGGAAGAGGAGCCAGATGATGGAGGTGTTCAGACTTGCGTTATGGCGACAATGCGTGTTGCAGTCGCGTCAGTGCTACGGACGGAGAGATGGCCCCAGGCGTCGTGGTTGGCATCACGGTCGGCCACACGACCAACTCATGAGCTCGTCAGCAACGCTTCATTCATAACCCTCCTCTCGCTGCCAACGTGCTCCGTACTGCAGGGGCTTAACCGAAGCGCGCACAAATCAAGCGCGTGGCTGAGAAAGAGAGAAGGAGAAAAAGAAGGAGACAAATAACGAGAGAAAGAGCGAGAGAGAAAGAGAGAAGGAGAGAGAGAGAGAGAGAGAAAGAGAAAAAACGAACGACCTAAATAAGAGAGAGAGAGAGAGTGAAGGATAATGAGAGACATTGAGAGAGAGAGAGAGAGAGCGAGAAAAGAGAGAGATAGAGAGAGGGAGAAAAACCATACACACATAATTAACAAGAAAAAGACCGACACAGAGAGTGAGAGAAAAAGAAGGAGGGAAAGGAATAGACAAATAAAGAGAGACATAGAGAGAGAGAGAGAGAGAGAAAAAAGAGAGAGAGAGAGAGAGAGCGAGAGAGAACGAGACAGAGAAAAAGCGAACGACAGAAAAAGAGAGAGAGAGAGAAAGTGAGCGATAATAATAGACATTGAGAGAGAGAGAGAGCGAGAAAAGCGAGAGAGAGAGAGAAAAAGAAGCACACACATAATTTGAACGAGAGAAACAGAGAGACAGAGAGAGAGAGAGAGCGCGCAGCGAGCTAGAAAGAAGGGGGAGAAGGAGAGACAGGGATAGAGAGAGCTGGATGAAGAGGTGGAGGATGAAAATGAGCAGAATATGGAGGAGAGGGGGGAGATGTGGAGGAGGGGCTCTCCATGGCAATGCCGTGAAGACTTAGGGTCACATCAAAGGGCAGGGCGCGTACGACCAATACTACGGCTACGGCGGTGATTCTTTCCATGCGTACTTCTATTTCATCTGCACGCACTTCTAGTGTCGTTTCAACCGTGGAAAGGCGAGGGCTCAGAATGATCGGTTGCAATGGAAGCGCGGACCAGAGGAAACAGATCCCAGAGCACCATAAGTTAAATCCGCCGTGCCACCGCGTAACATCCACGAGCGCCGCCGCTTGCCGTTGGGCGAGGCACGGGTTCCCTTCCCAGACGCTCCGGACACGTCTCCCACACGGAGCCCACGATGCGATGGTGGCGCTGGAGAGGGTGAGCGCGCAGTGACGATCTCCCATCCGGCCCACCGGGCCCCCCACCACGTGCGGTGCCCCCCCCCCAGTCATTCCCCCCCCCCCTCCTCCTCCTCCTCCTCCTCCTCCTCCTCCTCCTCCTCCTCCTCCTCCTCCTCCTCCTCCTGTTGTCCTTCCCCGTTGGGGTGCCCAGCCCCGAGATCGCCGAGAGGAGTACGCGCTGAAGATCATGCGGGAGGAGACCGAGAAGAAGGAGCGGGCGGCGCGCGACATGTTCTCCCACGCCGAGCGGAGCAGGCAGTCCGTGTTCTTCGCCAACAACGAAGGCGAGGGCGGGAGGAGGAGCCGAGGGGAGGGGATGCTGGAAGATGATGATGATAGTTGATGCTGATGAGGATGGGGATGATGATGAGGATGGTGATGAGGATGATGATGACGATGATGACGATGACGATGACGATGATGACGATGACGATGACGATGACGATGACGATGATGATGATGATGATGATGATGATGATGATGATGATGATGATGATGATGATGATGATGGTTATGATGATGATGACGATGATGATGTTGATGATAATGATGATGTTAATGATGATGTTGATGATGATACTGATGATGCTGAGGATTATGACCATGAGGGAAGATGTTGATGACGATGGTGATGATGATGATGATGATGATGATGACGACGGTGATGTTGATGATGATGGAAATATGATGGAGATGATCAACACCATCATCATCAGCAACAGCAGCATCATCCTAGTCCTCCTCCTCCTCCTCATCATCATCATCATCATCAGCATCATCATCATGAACACCATCATCATCAGCAGCAGCATCCTCTTCCTCGTCCTCGTCCTCATCAGCATATTCTCCTCGTCCTCGGGGGGAACAGGGCAGCGTGGCCTCGCCCGGACGTGCGCAGTCCGTGTCCCTCGGCGAGGGCCATCGGGAAGCAGACCGGGACCGCCTCGCGAAGATACGCGCGCACGCACGAAGGAGGAGGGGGGAGGGGAGGGGGAGGAGGAGGAGGGGAGGAGGAGGAGGAGGAGGAGGAGGAGGAGGAGGAGGAGGAGGAGGAGGAGGAGGAGGAGGAGGAGGAGGAGGAGGAAGGAGGAGGAGGAGGAGGAGGAGGAGGAGGAGGAGGAGGAGGAGGAGGAGGGAGGAGGAGGGAGGAGGAGGAGGAGGAGGAGGAGGAGGAGGAGGAGGAGGAGGGAGGAGGAGGAGGAGGAGGAGGGAGGGGAGGAGGGAGGAGGAGGGAGGGGGGAGGGGGGAGGGGGGGAGGGGGAGGAGGAGGGGGAGGGGAGGGGGAGGAGGTGGAGGAGGAGGAGGGAGGAGGAGGAGGAGGAAGGAGGAGGAGGAGGAGGAGGAGGCCAAGGAGGAGGAGGAGCTGGAGGAGGAGGAGGCATGAGAGAACGGAGTTAAGGAACGAAAACATATTGCCAACAGCAAAGTGGGTAGCCGGTCGAGTGAATCAAGTAGTGGAGGAGAGAAGCAAAGCAGAGGTGTTGTGGCCGCCTCCTCTTGTCCACTTGTCTCAGCGTTCCCACATCGATCATTCTCGGGACGTGTGTTAGCCCAGTGTGTTGACCCCGCTCAGCTCAGCTCGCTTGCGTCGCACTGAAGGGCCTCGGTGGACGAACGCACGATGGCGCGAACACACGTTCTGAGGATCACTGGCCGTGGCCCGGCGCGGTCCGTCGGCTACTCGAATGCGTCAGCGTCCGCTCTCGCTGCCAACCGTGTAGGCGGCGTGGCTTTGCTGGCGCAGCGCCCGACGAGCCGCGAGCGCACGGCGCCGCGCCCGTTTCAGGGCGCTCGTCCTCGGTGAGCTCGCAGTGCTGCACCGCGGAGCGGTCGCGCCTGCGCACGTCACGGAGGTCCGCAGAGCCGAGCTGGGCGCGGAGCCCATCGATTCTGCCCAGACAGGATCGCGTCGTGAAAAAATCCAGACGGGAGGATTTTTGGCAATTTTCGGCCACGCGGGGGGCCCGCGCCGGGCCTCGGGACTGTCAACACAAGGATCCAGGACGAAAAACCGGTCCTGGGGAAAGGGTCGGGACTTCCGGGGGCGCCGTCCTGAAGAAAAATCGGGACGTCGCATGTCTGGGGCCAGCGCTTCACCGAACCGATCCAGCGTTTCAGGAGAGAGATGCTTGCGACACCATTGCCTGAATAGCCCCCTCAGCATGTTTCACCATTGCCGCTGCCTGCCACTCTGCGGGGCCGCTCCGGAGCGGGCATGCAGGCTGCACCGTGCACCTGTGCCCCTACGTTGATAGGACCTCCTACCTGGACACGTCGACTCAAGAATTGGCCGTTTTCGGTTGGCGTCGCGGCCGTCATTTTGCAGGTCCAGGTCCGTCGGTTTCGGTCCCAGGCCGTTTTCACTAAGGGGAGGTTTACTAAAGGGAGGCTCGTCCACCGCCGATGTACCCCCCCAGAGGCCGGGCGTGGGCGCGAAGCGCGTGCCGGCACTGCTCCGCAGGCGCTGAGCCGTCGATGAGTGCAGCGCGTTCGGCTCGCCCCGGGGGCACTGCGCCCTCGGCCGTCGTGTTCCTGTCTTGGCCAGCGGGGCGCAGAGTCCTTCGATCGTCGTGGTGCCTCTTTGCGCGCACGGGTGGCGTTGCACCCCCCCGGCCGCGGTGCTCCCGTTGCTGCGATGCCGGGCGCCGGTTCCGTCGGCAGCTGCACGCGCTTCCTTTTCTCTTAAGTCGGGCCTGTCCCCCTACAGGGGGATTTTCGACGAAAAATAAAAAATACCGCAACAATAACAACACAAATCATCCAAACATGGTGTTTTTTTTGTGTTTTTTTTTTTTACCTTTTCGGAGTATTTACTCATACGGGACGTTCCAGAAAGGGCCCCGCCTTCGAGGGTCAAAGGAGTCGTCGTCTCTTCCACGGGGGAAGGCGGCGGAAGGGTCGGCGGAAGGGTCGGCGGAAGTAAAACGGGGCCGCCTCCGCCGGCGGAAGGCGGCGGAAGCAAAAAGTGCGCCCCCAAGAGGTGAAAACGTTGTTGGGTCCAGGGCTTCCAGAACCCGCCATAGAACGAAAGCCCCGCTCCCAGGGGGCCGCAGCACACCAGTGGCACCGGGAGTCCAGTGAGTGGCGCTTCCCGTGAAGCCTCCCTGGGTTGCCCCATGAGGCTTCCGGAGCCGCCGAGGAGCTCCGAAGGGATCCCAAGACGGCCTCAGAGGGCCCCGAGAGGGCCCCAAGGAGGTCCAAGTTGATCCCGAGACGACGCCCGAGGCAGCATCAGGATGGGCCAAGAGGCCATGAGGACGGCGCAAGAAGGCCCGAAAGGGTGTCCAACAGGCAACAGCCAGTGTTCTTCCTTTGGCTGTCAGAAGATCCGCCTGTCTGCCAGGGTTCCATCTGTGGCTCGGAAGAGGGCCTGAAGGATGCTGGCCCTGGAGCCAGTGACTTGGTGGTCTCCCGTATAGTTTCCCGTATGGTCTCCGACGTGGCCGGCCCCAGATTCGGTGCCTTGATGGTTTCCCGTAGGCTCTCCTGTATGCTCCCCCCCGTTTGTTTTCCGACCTGTCCTCCCGTACGATGACATCCCAGAGATCCAACGCATTGGAAAAATCAAGACGGCGGTTTTTCGCACATTTCGGCCCCTACGGGCCCTCGCCAGGCCTCGGGACCGTCCACAAACGACTCAGGATGAAGAACCGGTCCTGGGGAAGGGGTCGGGACTTCTGGGGGCCGCGTATGGAAAAGATCTCGACGTCGGATCTCGGGGATCCCGTGTGCTCTTCCGTGCGCTCTCCGGTACGTTTTCCCCCCATCTTCAGGAGGGGAAGAATGTGGGAAAAGATGGGAAGTGGGGGGGAGGACAAAAAGCCAGAACATATGGGAAAATATGGGGAACCTTTTGTATTTCTGTGTATTTATCTGTGTGTCCCAGGGCCCCTTGACATGTGTTCTCCCGCATGGCTCTTCCGCATGCTCTTCCGCATGGTCTCCCGCACGGTCTCCCGCAGGCTCTGCCGTGCGACTGGCCGCATGCAGCCTCGGCTTCTGCCGCCAGGGTGTGATTCCTCCTCCTCCTCCTCCTCCTCCTCCTCCTCCTCCTCCTCCTCCTCCTCCTCCTCCTCCTCCTCCTTCTCCTCCCTCCCTCCCTCCCTCCCTCCTCCCTCCCTCCCATCCCTCCTCTCCTTCCCCCTCCCTCCTCCTGCTCCTCTCCTCCTCCTCCTCCTCCTCTCCTCCTCCTCCTCCTCCTCCTCGCTCCTCCTCCTCCCTCCTCCTCCTCCTCCTCCTCCTCCTCCCTCCTCCTCCTGCTCCCTCCTCCTGCTTCCCTCCCTCCTCCTCCTCCTCCTCCTCCTTATCCTCCTTATCCTGCTTTCTCCTTTCCTTCTCCTCCTCCTCCTCCTCCTCCTCCTCCTCCTCCTCCTCCTCCTCCTCCTCCTCCTCCTCCTCCTCCTCCTCCTCCTCCTCCTCCTCCTCCTTGGCCTCCGACCGCACACGACGGCCCAGGAGGCCCCAAGGACGGCCCAATGCAACCCCCAGGTCGGCCCCAGGAGGGCCGCCCGTGAGGCCCGCCAGGAGGGCCCGAGATGCTTCGAGACCCCACGGGATGGGGGCCAAAGAGGAGAAAAGCGAAGGGTCCTCGGGAGCCCCCCCCTACCCTGACCTTCCAGGAGGGCTAAAAAATAGCACCCGACTGAAAAAACCTATCCCAGAGCTATTCTACGTCTTGGTTGTAGGCTGTTTCGCTCAGTTTTTTAGGTTTTTAGGCCTCCAGTGCAAAAAAAATGCTCTCTGGAAGGTCAGGGTACGGATGGTCCCCAAGACCCCTAGCATGCCCCCAGGAGGCTCTCAGAGGCCCCCGACCCAGACCCCCGACGTCGTGATTTTTGTTTCAACGTCGACCCCCGCAGAGGTCTGGACCCCTTCCCCAGGGCCGGTGTTTCATCCTGAGTCGTTTCTTAACGGCCCCGAGACACGGCGAGGGGCTCCGGAGGTCGAAAACAGCGACAACCTCACGTCTCGATTGCTTCCCAACGCGAAGGGGGTCTGCGGACTCCTCCCCTCCCAGGAGGCCCCCAGGAGGTCCCCGGAGGCTTCAAAAAAATGCCTCCGGGAGGCATCCCGAGAGGCTCCAAGAGGCAGTTATGATGTTCCAACCTACTTTAGCCTTGACCCCCAGAAAGAGTTTCCAGCACCGAGAACGTACCGAAGCTTGTGGGTTCTCACGTGCCGGGCCCTGGGAGGCGACACTCGCTCGACACTGCTTCGACACTTTCCTGGGCGCTCGAATTTTGTTCTGGGATGTGGTCCGTAAGCACGCTGGGAGCAGCATGAC